TACATATGAATTATAGATTGACTATTGTAATCGCAGGATACTAGTTATATATAGACTGCATTCCAAATGAATACACCATTTTAAAGATAAATTACACATTGACTATAATAATTCTCGGGATAACAATTATATACAAAATGCATACAAATTGGATTCAACATTTAGAGTTTATGATTTTACAATGTCTTATTAACTAGAAAGAAATCATACTACTAATTTAGAGTTCATGAACTAACTCTGACTTATAATTGGTATCCAAAATGTACACCTTTGGCATCCAAATTCATATTCTAACACAAAAAATAAAAAAATAAAAAATGAAGTTGGTATCCAACAGGTATAAATACCTTGTATAAACAATTATGCCAATGTAAAATAGTGATAATTGTATTTTGTAACAACCTCAATTACATTTTTGTTTTACATTTTTTTCATCCTGGACAATTTACAACCTAATTGTAAATTATATTGTCTTAACAAGCGTGAATTAAGTATTTTTAAAGATGTATGAAGTTGTATACAATCTGTATAAATACTGGAATAAACGAATCTTACAATTTAAAACAGAGATCATTAAATGTTGCACCAACATCAATTACATCTGGTTTTATTTTGTTTTTTTGAAAATGGATAAAATAAGACTTTTTAATTAATTTTAACAGATTAGAGTGAATTAAGGAAAACAAATATTCCTAATTAGTTTGAATCTCCTAAATTTATGCTAATTAATAATTATCATCAATCAATTCAAATTTAATTAATACATCTATTTCCATTTTTTCAGTTTTTTTCTTTATTATTTCTAATTCCGTTTTATTTTTAATTTTCGTTTATCTTTTTTTTTTAAAAAAGTTTTTTCCAATTAATAAAAACATTTCTTTTTTTTTGTAAATTTGTTATAACCTGAAATTTTTAATGCTATAGCTTGAAAGTCTAAATCTACTGCTATAGCTTGAAAATAGTACTATAATATATGTCATATATGAAATTTACACTTTAAAATATCATTTTAATAGTTTGATAAAAAATGTTCCTTCTTTTTCAAATAAAAATTTTATTTTTTAAAACATATTCTTTTCCTAATATAATTTTTTAACTAGCAAATGATTATTTTACTTCAAATCGCAAAAGGACATTTTTTATTCATTAATAGGGCAATTTTGGACCGATTTGTTTGAGGCAGGGTATTTTGGATCAAATTATTGACCGTAAAAGCATTTTTAAAACAAACTATTAATTGAAGATATTTGTGTTTAATTTTGCATTGTTCATTCTTTTACCCTTTTTGAATTTTTAATAATAAAATTATAATTTTAAAAAGTAAATGGGAAAATTATAATCCACTAGTTCAAAAATTGTACTGTTATTGTTATTTTGGGTGTCAAATAATTTTCTTCGGTTATGACTTTTTTCATTGACATTAATACAGTAATATTTTTATTTATTTATTGTACTTTAAATAGTTTTTTAACATATACAGTAAGTTCCAGTTCGTGAAGAAAAAAGAAACGACACCGATAGAATTAATAAAAAAAATGCATTAAAGATGGTACCCTGAACCTCGTTATTCTTTTGAATTTGAGGAAATACTATAAATAAATCATAAAATTTGTGAAGTTTGATAAATAAAAAGTTGATAAAAAAATATCAAAGCTAAAAAGAATCATTGACTATCCAAATATTATAAACTTACTTCTTCTCTTTTTCTGTTCTTGCAAAATAACTGTGAAGTTTTTTTTAAAAAAAATAAATGTATAAAATGTGCTAGAGGACGTAACTTTACACTTACTTCAAACTCAATTATTTTTTTAGTAAGGTAATTTGTCGGTATAGGTTATGCTAATCACCAAAAGAATTTAAAAAAAGGTAGGATATTGAAGTACTTAATATAAGAAAAAAATAGAAGGTAATTTAAAATTTTGAATTCAATTTTGGACATTATTAATCAATGTAGACACATTGATAATATTGATTCACATCAGACATTATTGTCGGTGCAGCATGGTATGATATCCCCTTACCATAGGAGAGGTCATATTGATTTCTCTGTCAACGTCTTTTCAATCGAATTTATCATATCAAAATTATTAGGTACGATTTACATCTCTAGTATAACTTGTGAGCTATTGCAATTAGCACATGAACGACTTTTTCATTGCGCACTCAAAGGATAGCGATTGCGAATTTTTCTGAAGTTTTAAGAATTAATCACATCAGATTGTTAAAGAAATTAAATTGATGACCATGGTAAAGTTTATTTAACAAATTAGTTGTTATTTGTTAATTTGTTTCTATATTAGAATTTTATTAGGAAAATAAAATACTAGTACTAGTCAATAGAAGAAAAAAAAAATAGAAGCAAAAGGAAAGTTATAGTAAGTCAATAGTCATAAGACGAAACTTCACGGGTTTGACTTGAAAAGATTAATGGGAACCTTTTAAAAATAGAACATATGTAATTTTGGGATTCAATATCTTAATTGCCAATATAACTAAACACGTTTTCTCCCTTTATGGGTTCTATTTAAAAATATATATATTTATTTTCCTTTGTTATATAGTTATTTTGACACATTTTCTGCTTACCATACCGATAATTCAACTTAAGATGCAACATGTTTGATTAAGGATGGCAATGAGGCATGGTGGGGCGGAGCTTAGTGGGGTTCATGGGTTTGGAATAATTCAGTAGGTTTTCCATAGATTT